AAATTTAAAAAAATTCTGACCCGAATTTAAGTTTCCCGATCTAATATTTGGAATAAAAATATCTCAGTTAGAATTCATGGTGTTATTTATTATTAAGTTGTAATATGCAAAAAAATAACAGTACTTTGCTACGCCATGATCATATAAGTTTGCCGGATAAGTAATTCTTATTGTTCAATTTTACAATTTTGAAATAGAATTCTAACTTCATATAGGAGTAAAAAAAATAATAATATTCTAAGATTTTGCGGAGGTTTTTTTTTTTTAATTTATTTATTTATTATTTATTTATTAGTTTTATTTATTTATTTGTAATTCGTTTTATTTATTTATTTGTGATTTTTTATTTCATTGTTTTATATATATATTGTTCGACAGTGAGTTTTGCTAAATTAATAATTATTTGCAGATACCGATCCTTCGGAACCGTATTTATTATACAATTATGAGGTCATATCGATATTCTGACCACAAAAAAATTTTTTGTGAGTATTAATTTTTTTCTTCCTTACGTGTGGGGTAGTCTTTAAAACAATTGCTTCTACTCTTGCTACAACATAAGAGTACATCACATTTTATACAATAAATCTGAGACTATGGCAGATTTTTAAAGGCTTTTTCATTATTATTTTTTTTTGCTATATATCTGTACCATACACAGCTATTTTTTTCTTCTCTCTATTCAGGTAAATGTCCTTCCAGAGATAATCTTATTAAGGAAAGTTCAAAATTATTTGTTACATATTGTATTCTTGATAAATCAGCATCAATATTTTTAGCCAATTCTTCAACCCGACTTTGCGTATTTGGTTTGTTTGTATCATTTTCCTCTATGCTCGCATTAATTAGACCCCATACTAACTGAATTTGGAAGTCTTTATAACTAATATTTTTATCATTTTTTTTAAAAATTAAATAAGAATTGATAATTGAAGTGTCTAATAACCAATAAAATAAAGGCATCCAAGTTCTTCTTACTGGTAATTGAATACCATAATATCCTCAAAGCTGGTCAGCTATATCTACCCTGTCCATATAATGGTTATAGTTATCAATTACACAAGGAATTGGTAAGGTTTTTTACTAGCAGTTCCAAAAATTGCTCGTACTTTGTTTGTATTGGTACTAGTTTCTCGAGGTTGGCATCGAATTCTTTCAATCCTGTTTTCATTTCCAGTAATTTGATGAATAGTAGATAATATCGTGACTGGCCCATTGTCTATCCATAAAATAGCTAAAACCTCACCAACAACTACTCCAGATAACGTATCCCAATCTAGTTTTTTATCTACTTTAAGTATTTTTGGAAATTTTGTGCTATTTGTTCGAGCTGTTCCGCATGCACCAAAATTATTATTGCACAAATGTTGAAAGAGATTAATAGATGAAAAAAATTATCTATATATATATTAAAGATTTTATTTAAAGGTAACTGGAAAACAAGATGATAAACCTCATTTCTAGCTTTATTTAAATTTGGAATTGGGTTTACTTCCAGATGACTGAATTCGTGAGGTAAAAATAAATACATACGTATAACCTGCATCACAAAGAGAAAAAATTTTGTAGCCTTCAGGAGTAGGCTTATTTTTAATTCTAACTGTATGCATACTTCGACCTGAAAATCGTGCAATCATTTCGTCAACTGAAATATTTGATGATGGAATGCAAATTAATTTAGAAATTGTTTGAATATGGCTTGCTAAT